CGTCATCTTCACAGCAAGAATTGACATATTTAGCAATATCATCATCACTAATAAAAGCAGACTTAGAACTGGACGCTACAGGAGGAGTGCGATAGCGCTCCCGGCACTTTTGGCGAAAGACAGGAGGAGCGTGATTGCGCTCCCTGGCACTCTAGGGGTTAAAATATTTCTTCTAATTAATTTCCTTTCAATGTGCATGGATCCATGCACTGGGACCGTAGTATAGATATAATATACTATATCTATATATCTATCTACACACACACACACACACACACACATATATGTATATATATCATAATTTACAAATGGATGTACTGCTTAATTAGCCCTATAGTGACAGGCCTTTGATTCTTTCAAGATTCTTTTACAGATTTTAAGCTGAGCAAGCTCTCCACTTTCCAGAATTTTGAGAAACAACCTTATTTCCTTCAGGGCTGATAATCCCTCCTTGTGCTTGGAACACTGTTGCCGTGCAATTAGAAAAAGACAAATGACTGAGTCAAAATGGTGGGACTTAAAAAAGGGCTTTGGAATTATAATAAAGCTTACCTTGGTGATTTAAAAGAAGAGTAATCTTTGTAATTGGCTTTTGTGATGCATATTGGAATACCACTGTTTTCAGCATAATTATGCATTTCACAGCTTAATTCATCCATTATAATGTGATGTAATGTTTAGACACAGCAATAATTACAAATCTTACATGCCTGCAAACAAATGTACTGCTGATTACAACAAGACAGTGGCAGATAGACTAATGTGGTGTCGGGGTGAGAAATTAGTGGAAAAGAATTGATAACGAGCTGTGTTTCACTGACTGCAAACCTTGCTTCTGCCTTTCGGCCCCAGGAAAACCGCCTGAGCCCGTGGGGGCGGCTTTTTCTCCTTCTGCCCTACAGCCAGCCTTCAGAGTCCACACCATTGTGTTTCTAGACTCCAGCTTGGGGAGTTCTGCTCAGGAAATGTGCCTTGGGTGGATCCTGGTATCAGCAGAGGTTCAAAATTTAAGAGATCATCCGCACCATTTGCTCTTCAGTGAGTATAGTGAATAAAGAATGGGCCTAGCTCGGCTGACAGGGCTCAGTGGCTGAGCATCGACCTATGAACCAGGAGATCACGGTCAGAGCATATACCTGGGTTCCGGGCTCCGTCCCCTAGTAGGGGGCGTGTAGAAGGCAGCCAGTAATTGATTCTCTCCCATCATTGATGTTTCTCTCTCTCCCTCTCTTTTCCTCTCTGAAATCAATAAAAAATATATTTAAAAAAAAGGATGGGTCTAACCCAGCCCACTAAAATGTGTTTGACTTGCAAAAAAAAGTAAACAATCAAATCCTGTTAGAGTGGCTTTTGTGTTTAAAATATGTTACCAGCGCTAACAGAATCACCCACCAGGTTCTCGGAGAAGCAGAACGACACACAAAGCCTCCATCTCATACTAAGTGTCCAAATCAGTGCAGACGGCGAGGAGGAAAGCACGAGCCACATTTTCCGGACGTGTTATTGAGAATTTGTATTCATTCTGGGCTTCTCTTCATTCACCTCGGCCACACTTCCACACGGCATGGCTGCGGTGCCCTGGATTCAGGAGGCCCGTTGCTTATAAATTGCGTGGGAAAGAACTAAAGAGAGAAATGTGAATTTTCCAGAACGCTGTGATGCCCAGAACAGCCCACTGGTCTGCTGGGAGCCGGGCCGTTTTGTGCGCAGGTTATTGTAACAAAAATGGCACGCACAGCCCCGTAGGCTGCATCCGTCCCCTTCGCTGACCCCGCTCGCTCCCAGATGGCTGGCCTGCTTGTGCCCCTCTAGGTTGGGGCAGGTGTTTCCTTTGAGTTTTCTCTTTTATTAAGCCTCTGTGCCTGTGTGTGCCTTTTCTTCTCCCCAGAAAAACACACACGTGCACACCCTCCGGTCCCTCCCCTGTCCTGTGCATTCTTTCTGGTTGCGACAGCATTTCCATCTCCTGTTCTTGGTGTGGGCAAAAGGAAAATGCGCTTGCCTTCTGCTTGGTCATTTCAGGAACTGGCATTTGAGACGGTTGGGCCAGCTTTACTGCAGCCAGACAGAGCTCCTTAGGGCTGTGCTAGCCTCTTGGCCGCCTCCCGAGGGCTGTTTCTGCCCCCTGAGCCTTGTCTGTGTGACATGGGGCAGCGGGAGGAGACCCAGCTCGGCCTGTGTGGCTTAGTAGTTGAGCGTCGACCCGTGAACCAGGAGGTCAGGGCATATGCCCTGGTAGGAGGCATGCAGGAGGCAGCCCATTGTTGATTCTCTCTCACCACTGATGTTTCTATCTCTCCCTTCCTCTCTCTGAAATCAATAAAAACATACTTAAAAAAAGAGGGAGACTGCCAATACCGGTTTGGCTCAGTGGATAGAGCGTCGGCCTGAGGACTGAAGGGTCCCAGGTTCGATTCCGGTCAAGGGCATGTACTGGGTTGCGGGCACATCCCCAGTAGGAGATGTGCAGGAGGCAGCTGATTAATGTTTCTCTCTCATCGATGTTTCTGACTCTCTTTCTCTCTCCCTTCCTCTCTGTAAAAAATCAATAAAAATATATTTAAAAAAAAAAAAGAGGGAGAGAGAAGCTGACCCACATAGCAGGGATGGTTGCATCTGGTCAATTAGCAGGGCTGTTAAAATTCTGTCCCTGAGCCAAAAACACAGGTACTGTTTCCAGGAAGTGATGAAGTGCCCTGTAGCCGGCCCCAGGTGTTCACAGGAAGGTCGGAATACGCCCGCTGTCCCTTGTTACAGCTCATAAATCTCCTGACTTACGGTGCCATTTGTGACTCAAGGCACATTAGTTAACTCACGCAGGGAGGGGTGGGGGTGGGGAGGGGAGGGTTTGTATTGAAGGCAGAGCCAGTGTAAAACCGGGGGGAAGCGTCACGTTGCTCTTCGTTAGAAAAGAATCCTGTGCCTTTAGTTGCAGACAAATACTTGCTTTTGAAGGGTCTGGTGGTGTGTTGGTGGCTTTGTTCTCAGCCGAGCACAGACACGCTCTGGCCTTCCAGGGATGCAGGCGCAGGAGTCACGCAGATGAGTGGATAATGCTTGGAATCCCAGTGTGTCACTTCGGATTGTCACATACGAGTAACTTCCCACTTCCTCCTCCTTCCCCTTTCACCCCAAGGAGTCCAGTATTTTTCTCTGGAGGGGGACAGAGGACAGGTGTCCTCTAGACCAGCAGTCGCCAACCGGTGGTCCGCGGGGTCCGAAAGGTTGGCGGCCGCTGCTGTGGACAGAGATGAACGCTGCGGGGAAGTGTTCTTCTGCGAGCCGCTTAACCAGCATCAGATAAAGCGGCCTTACACCTTTTGCCTCTGAGATCCAGTGGATTAGGGTATCAGGAAGCTTGGTCTCAGTTTGCTCATCTGTAAACAAAGGGAATCGTTCTAACAGCGCCTACGCCTTTGCCCCTGCTGCCAGCCGCCTCAGACGATGTGAGGATTAGCTGAAGGAAGGAGTGTCCAGAGTAGTTTTTGCCGTATGTTTAATAAGTGGTAGCTCTGATCACCATGATCCCTGTTTACAGGTGAGGAACACGGAGGCTCAGGGGGGCTGAGTAACTTGGCCTGGGCACCATGGCACGTGGCTACCCACTCCGGAACCTACGCTCTCTGCCACCACCCTGTATATAATGCCTCTTGGGAAAATGATAGCTTTCCACCTGTCAAACATGGGTGGTCGGTTGAATGAAAAACAAAATAGTGTGCGTGCAAGGCACGGTTGTTTAACTCTGTGTACCCATTAACTGGAAACCTGCAATGACGAGGCATTGGGAAGGTCATGGAGAGTCGGGGTGACCAGGCCCCGGTCCCCGGAAGCTGCAGTCCAGGGAGGGGAGCAAGCAGTAGACATAGAGTTGTGGGGCTGGGTAGTAAATGCTGGGATGAAAAGATCTTCAGGAGCCAAGAGAGGCCCGAGGAAGGGAGCCCTTGGAGCCAGGTGGGTGGGGTTGGAGGCATAGGAGCAGGTCTCCAGCAAAGCAGAGGTGATGCTGGGGTCCTCTCTGCAAACCACCAGAGCCATCGAACTTCGATGCAGTCGGGGTGGGGGCAGGAAGGTCATGACAATTACTGGGAATCAGCCATTTCCCTTGTAGGTGCACATTCCTTGTAAATATTTTTTTAGCCTATCTAATCTGTCAGCTAACTTTTTTCCCCACTAGAACAGAACTCTTGGCAGCTTGATATAAAGCTAAAGTATTCTTTTGATTTGATGATTTGTTTCCTCTCGGTGAGGGGGAAATATTGGAGGGTCACGTGGCGAAATGTCAAATTTACAATATTTACGAACACTCAGGACAGCAGCATGGACCATGGCCTTGGATAGAATGTGAATGGAGTCAGGGGGACCACCCTGGGCTAATTCAGACCACACTGCACAGGACACAGGCCCCTGGGCAGGTCCTTGGGGATGGAGGAGGCAGTCTGGGTGCTGAAGCGAGGCAGTCCTGGGCCTCTCTGCCTGACTGTGAGATCTCAGACGTGCCAGGTGACCTCTCTGGGTTTCAGAGTCCCCGTCTGTGAGGCGGAAAGCGTGTCTCTCTGATTTGAGTGTGTGGGATGAGTTTTAACCGCAGTGGGAAGAAAACGGGGGCTCTTATTTTAAAACAAAGCAGAAGTGATTTGATAAGATCAATTCCAACAGGGCTGATACGTATTGCCTGCTGCCTTAGTTGGTTTGTTAGGGTTGCTTAGCCACCACCCTATGATGGATACCAAGTGAATTCTAGCAGATTTATAGTGTCAGGTTTGTAAGTAATGTCATTTGCAGATAATAAAGTTCCCAATTTGTTCTTAAATTTGGAAGGGCCGTGCGGAAGAAATAAGAGACTTTATGAGTATCTAGTAACCTCTCACCACTTGAAATATTGAGAGGATAACTGATGCCGATGGCGGCTTGCTTTGGATCATGAATTATGCGTGCGGTGTGCCCTGGAGTTCTTCATGGCTGTGCATATTGAGTCACCTTCTGTTCTCGCTTGTTTTCAGTGGTGGTGCTGGGAAAAGAAGAGGTCACAGCCAGTCTGTTAAAGAAGTCTGTTTGGTGTAAGACGATCTTCTTTTGCTGTTCATTCTATTCTGTTAGTGGCTTTTGTTTGTGCTTTGTTTATTCATTATCAAATTGGTCCTCGGTAGGGCGGGGTTGGGGGACTGTGGGAGGAGATGCCCTGGGATGTTCACAGCTGAGGTTTGGTCTAAGGACCCAGCAGAGAGCGGGCACACCTCTCCCGGCTCCTTGCAGCTGTAAAGCAGTTCTGTTCTTGCCCCGTCCTCTTCCTTCCTGCTCCCGCTACATCTTCAAGGCAGTGGCCCCCATGCAGATCTTCAGGCTCCGAGTAAAAGCAGATTAAGCCTTAACTACTTTTTAACCTCGTAATGAGAAAATAAGATGGAATAAGTTACTAAGAACACGCCCATGATCTTTTGTCCCACCGATTTCCCTCTAGCCTTGAGCTGCAATTAGAGGATTGAAAACTGTGCGACGCAGCGGAGAATGAGGGTGTGCTCTTGGTCCCCTTCTCCCCTCCCCTAAAGGTTCTGTTGGGAACTGCGTTATGGTATCAAAGGTCTTATTTAAGTTTCATACATGAAGCCATGGTGACTCTCAATGAAGCCACTTGTCACGCTGCTTAGTTTGGCCATTTAAAGCAGTGCTTACATCTGCAGTGACGGCGACGGCCTGCTCTGTGGGAGGAGCCTCCCGGGCAGGTGTCCGCCTGGCTCATCTGGATTAATTAGAAAGGGCTTCCCAGGGATTGCACTGTGGGTTGCTGAGCTCTCATCTTCCTAGAAGGGTCATGTGTGGGATGACCAGAGGTAGGGATCCCAGCATTTGGGCGTGGCTCTGCATGGAGGGTAATCCACCTCTGTTATGAAGTCTACGTCTACGGAGGGCAGCTTCCCCGTCAGAGTTCCAGCTCCCAGGCTGTTGGAAAATGTTGGGGCTGCCTTCTCAGTGGTTAGGATGATTTTAGCTCATACGAGGTGAAAAGAAGCTTTGCAGGAAACATCACTTAACTTAGTCTCTATTATTAGCTTGGAGCACTGCACAGTGCTCATGCAGGACAGAGAAATAGAGTAGCATTTAGAGTTAATGCACAGGAGGCCAGTAGGGTATTTATTCGAGAATCCTGCCTTTGTTCAGCAGGGATTGACTCAAACCTTCCAGCACGGTGCGGGCTCGGGCACCAGGGGAGGGTCAGCAGGACTTTCCCCCAGAGCCTGTCCTCGGGGACCTTGGTCCAGAAAGGGAGCTGAGGCTTGTGCGCAGCTGCAATGCATTGAGAAATGAATCTAGACCAGTGTTTCTCAGCCTTCTGGCCCTTTAAATACAGTTCCTCATGTGGTGACCCAACCATAAAACTATTTTCGTTGCTGCTTCATCACTGTAATGTTGCTGCTGTTATGAATTGTAATGTAAATATCTGATATGCAGGTCTTAGGTGACCCCTGTGAAAAGGTCGTTCGACCGCCAAAGGGGTTGCGACCCACAGGTTGAGAACCGTTGATCTAGACAAACACCACGGGAGTTCAGAGGAGAGAGAGGCTCCTTCCAGCTGAGTGGGTCTTGGAGGAGCTAGAGTTCCGTTTATTATGGTGGGAAAGGCAGGCTGTGAATGAAGGAAGTTACAAATGGCCTTTTCTTCTAGAGCCAACATCAAATCCCTGGGCTTTGGCCCGGCCCGAGTGGCTCAGGTCCCATGCACCAAGGGGTCTCAGGTTTGATTTCCAGTCAGGGCACGTGCCCAGGTTACAGGCTTGATCCCCAGTAGGGGGCGTGCAGGCCAATGGATGTTTCTCTCTCACCTATGTTTCTCTCTCTCACCCCTCTCCTCTCCTCTCTCTCTAAAATCAATAAAAAACAGTAAAAAAAAATTTTTTTTTAATCCCTGGGTTTTTAACTTGTTTACTAAAAAAGTGCAGTACAGTAGTTCACGGTTTTGAATTACCATTAGCCCATTAGGCACACTAAGAGATTAACAGTAATCACTAATGATAAAATAGAACAATTACAACAATACATTGCAATAAAATTTACGTGTATGTGCTCTCCCCCTCTCTCTGAAAATGTCTTAATGTACTGTACTTTTTCGCTTAAAGACTTATCCAGATTGCCAGCATCACTACTGTTACACTTTTGGGCCATTATTAAGTAAAACAAGAGTGACTTGAACACACGCACTGTGCTAACGAGACCACTGCTAAGTAACTAATGAGTGGGGAGTGTATCCAGCGCGGATTCTCTGGACGAAGGGATGGTTCACGTCCCACGTGGGATGGAGCAGGATGCCCTGAGATTTCATCATGCTCCTCAGAATGTTAGTACTTATGAATTGTTCATTTCTGGAATTTTCCAATTAATATTTTCAGACCACGATGGGCTGCGGTAGGTAAGTGAAACTATAGAAAGCGATACTGCGGATGTGGGGAGGGAGGCTTCTGTACACATATGTATGTTTTTATTTATACACTAGAGGCCCGATGCACGAAATTCATGCAAGAGTAGGCCTTCCTTCCCCAGGCTGCCGACACCGGCTTCCCTCTGGTACCTGGGACCCCGGGCTTCGTCCTTCCGGTCTAATTAGCATATTACACTTTAATTATTATAGATTACTTACTATTAAATGTGGTTGAGATGACTGGACCATTTGTGGCTGGATAAAAGAGAAGAACGTACCTAAGCCCAGAAAGTTCACATACAGTATTTATTTCAAGGCAGAAATAGTTGGCATATTTTGGCTTGGAAGATACCTTGCTATAGAGTCAGAGATCCAGTAGGGATATTGTTAGAAGCAAACCTGTCCTATATTGGGTTGGCTGTTTAATAGTTAAACAGTAGGGCCATATCTGGAATTTACTTGTTAATCTTTTATTAACTTTCTGTCTAAACCTTTATTGCCTTGTGTGTGTGTGTTTCTGCTTTAATGGACTGAGTTTATTTTGGGACTTGTACAAATTATTTTAATTTTTTTAAAGAATTTGGCAGTGCTTTCAAAATGTTTTCTTCTGTACTCCCTCTAAAAATTTTAAACAAGTTGATGTTTCTTTGATATATTGAAGTTGTGAAAGTGTCTTCACTTTGCTGACTTGTAAAAGGATCTTATTTTGAGTAAGTTTTAATGTTGGGCCTTGAAAGATGGGAATTTGAGTATACTTACTTGTTTCTCTTTATCACTTGGAGGTTCACCTTGGCTGTGAGGGAAAATCTATAAACAAAACCATGTGGCTGCAGTTCCCCAGGTGCAGTCATCAACTAACGGATGCCCATCAGGGAATCAGGCTCATGGGATTGAAACGTCCTGGACGCCATCCATTAACGTATCAGTTTATCGGACACCTGGCATGTCTGCTAAATGCCATAATGGTACTCAGTGCCGGGGATGCAGAGGTGAATAGGCTAGGAAGGGAAGGCCAGTTTTATTTTTTCATACTGGGAAATTGAGACCTTGTAAGACAGTAAAATACTACTCAGCTAATTATCCCATTTGAGTCTTCAGATTGTTGTCTTTGACATGAAATATGTCCTTGGTTTCTCACTGTAGGTCCCAAAGTCTTATTGAATGCACTTGGCAATATTGGGTTGTGCCCTCTTTTCCGTGGTCTAAGGCAATCCTAGCAGAAAATAGGTACTTGCCGCCTATTTCTTAGCTTCCTCGCCCCCCCCCCCCCCCCCGCGCCCTTCTTTTGCTTTGTCTCCTGTGATCTTGAAATCCTGGGGAAATGGAGCAGCTTTTCACGAGACGGTTCAGGTGATCTTTAGGCTGGAGCCGCTTCGGTGCCAGGCTGTGCGCCTCACGCCTGCCCGAGGGCCACGAGGAGAGAATAGCGTGAGCCTGGGGCAGGTCTCTCGGGCACTGTCCTTGCTTGACCCCACCTGACCAGTATACTCCGGGCCTTGCCCAGCTCCCTTAGCTGCTGGCTCAGAGAAGAGGTCCGGAGAGTTTTCCAAATATGGGCCCCAAATTGTGCTTTCAGAAGTGTGCTCATGAGTAGTACGTGGGAGTCCCTCATCTCGGCAGATGCGGTGAGGACGTCCTTAAGTTGGATCGGAAATAGGCCGACTCCCCAACCATGCTCGCTCTCAGAGCATGCGGGCGATGGAGGTCACGTGGCGGTGTATGCAACTCCGTGTGCTTTCTCACCTGTCTTCTCACATCTGTCCTGGGCCTGGTGTTCTCTGGCTCCTTTCAGACAACCTTGACAGCCACTTGATTCTGGTGGAAACCATGGCGGAGGCACAATGGATGTCGTTCACAGTTGTTCAGGCTTTGGGGTTGCACATGAAGATGGGGTGGCATTAGTGAAGTTCGGTTTTCTTACCCAGGTGGCCCTTACTGAGCGCCCATTGCGTGCAAACCACATGGCTCTCTGTTCTTAGGTGGGATCTTGTGAGGTTACCGACGCAGCGCAGGGTTAAGGAGAGAGCTCCCTGAGCCCTGGACGTGTCCGAAAAGGCTTTTGCTGTGGCTGTTACTCCGGGGATGGTGGTGGTGGTGGTGGTGGTGGTGTGTGATGTCCCGTCAGGGAGGAACATTCGGAACGCTTAGCATGGTCATGAATCAGGATTATAGAACCTGTAGGATGTAGAGAATTCTAGAATGAGAAGTTCCATAATGTTCATTTTCGTTGTGAAGGATGGGGACGGGAGGCGCTAAATTGGGATTTAATGGCTCCTGTGCCTGTGTTCCTGAAAGCACTTGGGAAACACCTCTCACCTCCACTGTAACCTGTACCGTCCTCGTCCAGGTTTGGTTCTCACCTGACAGTGAGCTCTGTCCGGGGAGTCAGCTGCCGTGTCTTACTCACCTTTGTTCTTCAGGTCGTGGAGCCGGGGTAGGGTTGCCAGATAAGATAGAGGATGCTCTATTTTTGTGAAATCTGAACTTCAGATAAACATCAGCTAAGTTTTATCCAAAATGTATCTCGTGCCTGTGTTTGTTAAATTTGAATTTTGGATAAACAACAAATAACTTTTTCATATAAATGTTTGCCATCCAGTCTTCAGATGTAATTGGTCATCCTGTGTTTTTACTTGCTAAATCAGG